GGTGGAAAAGGGACTATAGCATGTGAACAATTGACTATTTAACATGGACAAATCTATAAACTCATCAGACTTAACCCGTTATGTCTAACAGTGGGGTTCGACCAGATCGATGGCATCCGTGATAAAGACAACAAATCAAACCTTTAAAGTAAACAGATCTATTCATATTTAACAGAATCATGGAGACACACTGTAGGCGTTAAAGCATAGGCGATCGGCTATTTAGCCGATGCAGGCATAGCAAACAGTCAAGGTCATGCCTGATCGAAAATAAATCTACCAACTAGCATCCTCCAATCTAAAGTGCCATCAGTGGGGATCGACCGGATCGTTACAGCCATAATAGCGAACTATAGACCGGATTTAACTAGCCAGCAAACCTCCTCAAGATCAGACATGCCTTAACTGCGTACTATGCACGATCAAGATCAAAGTAGAATAGTCGATGAAACATAACCCGCCGCTCAAAGTAAGAAAACATCGTATTGTAACAAAGCAAACGACGGACTAAAAGGATGTGAAGCCGATCTAGATTGATCTCGACCGGGCAGGTTGATGTTGCTGAAACTAATGGTAATAAGAACATCAGCAAGATCGATAACTTAATGAATCTACCCAAAGGATGCCACCCTTAGGTAGAGCCGATAACTTGACCTTAATCTAATTCGAGCAGTGGAGGTCGAACTTAACCGATGCAGCCGTACTTGAACTAGATAAGAATCAATAACTAGCTTATGCTAGAGTTCGCAGTGGAGGTCAAACTTAACCGATGCAGCCTTACAAACCAAAGCATAAGCCATGACGGTACTTACAGACAAGCCGAAGGTCGGCCGGACCGATGCAGCCCTGCTTGTTGAAGAACTCGTCGAGATCCACACTACTCCTACTCTTAAGGGTTGGCGTAAAGCCGAAAAAGTAATTTGTATTGATTGATTGGATGTCTTTTACAATAGTCGGAGTCCGATATTTATACCCGAAACCTAAGCATGAGTCATACTCAAGCATGACTCATTATAATCTTCGGTATAAGAGAAAACATTCCTAATTTAAGATAACTTGGACCCTAATCTTTTCCTTTTATAGAGTCCGACGTGTCTTTCCCAACGTCAACCGTAGCTTATTGTCGTTATCTGCTGGCATCATCTGAAGAGAGCCGATTCCAGTGCTGCATCTGAGTCAGCTGATATCGACCCTTATGCAATCAATTCCTTGACAACACGATCTTGGAAGCTTCGAGTTTCCGCGTTCTTCTTCCCAAATTTTGGTGTCAACAAATAGACATGTCCTTGAAATGGACAAATGCTAGGATGGGATACTATGATTAGTTTTACTTTTACGTGTAATGAAACTGGTAATGTAATTGATGCTAATCCGAGTACTAGTGGGAATGGTAATACTCCGCTAGTACCCAACCTTTAATTATAACCACCATTACACTTCTATTTCCACCATATGATTAGGGCTTGTTGAGTATGTATGTACTCACCTGTTGTTGAACATAGACCTCAGCACGGAAGAAGATTATGACTTCGATGAGGAAGCACTTGGCGAAGGCTGGACACGCATCTACATGGGAGATGTAGATGGCATAGGTCAAGTCAAGAAGAAAGGCGAAGGCGTCAAGCTTGGCGGAGGTCGGACACGCGTCGACATCGAAGGGGTTTGGTGGTTTCATCCTCAAAACCATCGGAGGGGTTTGGTGATTTCGGCCTCAAAACCATCGGATGACGGTTTGCTGGTTTGGGCCTCAAAATCAGCGTGGATAGTTCGGTGGGTTGAGCCTCAAAACCACCGGGTGGACGGTTTCACGGGTTTATCCTCAAAACCCAGGCTAAGGTTCCAAGGAGGAACGGGACAGCACGTGGCGGAATCACAGAGGTCGCGTCAAGGCGAAGCAAATATGTGCAGGAAGCGTGGCCGTCCAATCGTCAGAAAAAAAGTTGGACCAGTACGCCCTCGGGTCACGTGGTTCGGCTCAAAATAGGTAGGGGCATTCTGGGAATTGTGTAATCGCCCATAAATAAGATATGGCTACCCCCAAACCATCTTAGAGCATCTCCAAGAGTTCCCTACTTTTTTCTTCTAAAAACTTGTAGTTTGACAACTCCTAAAAAGATTTGGGGAGAAAAAAAGGTCATCTTCAAGAGTTTCTAATAAATGGCATCTAAAAAATAAAATTTGGGGCCCACATGAATTATGTTGCGGCTTTTTTTCTTTTCCATCACGGGAAACTACAGGGCGCGCCGAACCCTAAGACCGCGAGCTCCCTACCGCCGCCGCCATCGTCCAGCCAGCCGCGGCAACCACCCAGCCGCCTGTCGCCACCTTCCAGCCAACCGCGTCCACCTTCCAACCGGCCACGCCCTCCTCCCGGTCGACCGACGCCACCTCCCGGTCGGCCGCGACCATCTCCTAGCCGGCCACACCCGTCACAGCCTGCAGACTGCCTCGCAAGGTCGCTAGAATCATGGCTGCTGAGAAATCTCTGTTGCAAAGAGAATTAGAAGATTCCTCACCATACGATGATGACCGTCTCATCATGTCAGCAGGTGCAAATGTTGAAACATATTTAAATAAAAAAGGAAGACATGGTGGTTCTGTCACATGCCATAAAGTTATTTATCGAGAGAGAAAAGGCGAGCACCAAATGATGTTTCAAGATTACTTGGCTGATGAGCCGACGTACGGGCCAAATTTATTCCGTGGGAGGTTTACACCGTTGCCGTATTCGTTGCCGTGGAAACAAATGAAACAGCAACAGCTTAGACATCTTCTGACCGTTTTCATCCCCTGAGGCTTTGCTAGCTTTTTCCTTGCTTTGTAGCCTCTCATTGTTCACACCAACTTTTCTTGCATACTCCGCATATATACTAGCGGCAAATGGCACCTGCATCTGCATCGAGCCGATCGTCAAAAAGTTTGTGAAGCGGCTCACGTACGTAAATGTTGCAGCCACGTTTGGACCAGCTTACAGTCAAACTACGTGCCAGCACGTACGTGTCGCCACAACTGGTCCGCAGGTCCAAGGCGTTTAACCAAAAATTAAAAACAATTTGTGCTAGGATCAAGATGGAAACAGTGATCATCTCGCCCACGCCCTCTCGACTCTCGTTGAATTGAAGGTCTAACAAAAACTGAGAGAGCGCAACAAGTTGTCAAGGCTGGTAGAATCTGGCCAGGTAACCCTGGAATACAGCACAAAAGGCCAGCCCAGCCATGTGGCCCAAAAGGCTTAGAGATGACACGGTTACAGTTCAAAACCAAGGATCACACCACACGGGTGCAATAGCCGTACAAACCAAAGTTTAGTAATGTTTGGTGCACTTGCATTCCCTACACCATCATCCCAGTGACATATATGCATTATGACAACTTAACAAAGAGAACAAGCAGTTCAGCCTCATCTTTAGCCAGTCACTTCATTTTTCAAACTTCTGTCTGCAAGCTGGAACAGGATCACTAGGAGCTACTATACTAGGAAGGTCACTAACAGGGCAAATATGTTAATCAGAAACACTCTGATGCCCATTCAAGTAATTCCAGGCTTAGCATACATACCTCATGCACAATTACAAGACTTCTTCAAAGCATCGTAGACACCTTCAAGAGTCGCATCTTGTACTAGTACAACCTTTTCCCTCGATTTAGAACCAGAGCCTATAGACACTTCTCTTTTCTTCACCCCAAGTACCTGCATATTTCATGGAGATTTACAGAAATTATTACGATAGGACGGAGAAAGGAAATGTCAGATGAGTGACTTACAGAGTTGACAACATCCATTTCGATTATCCTAGACTCCTAGTTCATAACCATATCAACATTGTATAGAGGAAATAAAGCTCGATAGGACCAAAGAGTGCAACCCAGTCTAGCTCAGTTTTTATCCTCTTGAATTGAACTCTGACAGTGAAACTAATAAGATCAGATTACTTGATCAGGATTATTCACATGATTATCTGGTAAAAGCTAAAGCAGCATAGTTTTAGCTGCTACTCTTACAGAATATGTTAGCCTGGAAGTTTAATCTGAACTGTCTAAGTCATTCCCAGCGCTATATACTACAGTTAGAGTTCGGATCCAACCCCGTGCTAGAAAAAGAAGAAGAAGAAGATAAGGCAGTCAAATGCTTTATTGTGCTACTGTTACACCAACCAAACTTTTTTGCTTTACAAAAGAAACACCTAATCTATGTTGTTAATGCGCATCTAACTTGATTCTCTTTACACAAATTACGTCTCAGTTTATCGAAACAAATATGATAGCAGCTCCTCTGCAGAATAATTGACTGCACTTCAAGCAGAGTTGCAGACCCAAAAAAAAAGACTTTAGACCAGCAATGATTCAAACACTTCGCTAGACAAATTTTCCTTGTCAACGTGCTTCTAATAAGCCAAAAGAACAATTCGACATTCCGTTGGTGGCAGTGGAGCAAACTGGAGTTTTCCGTGCTCAAAAATCAAGCGCAGTTCAAGTTTTACACATCATTGCAATAACTACTGCAAAATCAAGCACCAAAGTAAACCAGTTAGTTACTTTGGTGCTCTAAAATCACCAATGTAAATTAAAGACATAGATTGGTTCCTGCCACTGAACAGCATCAGGAAATCAGTCAAGCCAGATTTCTGTGTCCCAGCTTTGCTTTTGAAATTTCCAGGCCAGGTTTCTTAAATTTTATGGGAGTTAGATCTGAACTGTTTAAATTGCTACTCCCAGCGCTTTAGACAAATTGGTTTATTCATCAGCGCTGGGTAATTTTTATTAGCTTTCATCCAAAGTTTATGAAACCAGACTAGCGAGTATTCAAGATGTACTGTAGCAAAGACACTATCGGAATCGAAGTCAGTTCGTATTGACCAAATGTTTTTGTAACTGCGATGAATGAACGACTCACCGAGCTGATAAAGTCGACAAGCGCGGCGTTGGCCTCGCCATCCCTCGCCGGCGCGTCGATCTGCACAAAGACCCCCCGTGAGGCCGTAACAGCCGAGATGGATGCTCTAGAAGGGGGCAGACAGACCGAACCTGTGATGGTAGCGACCTTGGAGGGGCGGCATCAGGCGGAGGCAGCCCGGGAACCCTCCAGCTCCGGCAGTCGCGGTTGCGGCGGGCGGCGCCGCCCCTTTGGCCTTGCCTCGCTTCCCCCTGCAGTCGGCCTCATCGACTGCAGTCTGCAGTCGGCGTATCTGTGCCGTTGTCTGCCATCCGAAGGACCATAGCCAGTTACCACACAGGCAGTTCAGCAGCCCATCTAAAGCCCACGAGCTACGCTTGAGCACGCTGTCTTCTTCGCCGCAGCTGGCGTCTTGTGTATCTTGCTCGGTCACTCGTTCGTTCACCACGGCTGTTGTCACGCGTCCCCGAGCTAAATCCCTTATGTGAGCCCGTAAATCTGGCTTCCTCCCCTTCATGTTGCCTTGGCGCTCATACGCTGTCGTAGCCGCAGCCTCACAGGGACGTTCCTCGCGTAGCCTGTTGGTCTCGTGGATGCCGGCAGCGCGCCTGCCCTCCATGCCATGTTCGGTCCCTGCTCGGTGATGAGATACGCACAGCTCCAGGTGCAGTCCCTGATGATCGAGCTCCAGGTGGCTGTGCAGGAAAGCTGCATATGTAGTGAAATCTGTTTGTGCAGGAAAGCTGCACTTCCTTCGATGGCTGTTTGTATAGGAAATTAGACAGGAAGCACAAGTGCTTGGAATTTATTCAAATTGTTTCTTCCTGAAACTACACAAAAATGTGAAGCATTCATATGAGCTGTGCAAGATGAATAACTAAAACTTCAATCCTATATGCTCTGTTCTTCTGAAACTAGCTTGTGACTTCAATTCTACTCCAATTCCCCGCATGCATGTAACTACGGGTTCGTGACAATGAGTCATGATGACGACGAGGACAAGAACGGCGTAATGCCGCCCTCTGCCAGCCACCACCCCGCCGCCGCACGATTGACCTCGGTTGGAGGTCGGATTGTTTATCGTCGCCGCCGCATTGTTTCGTCTCGAAGCTTGTCACCATCTCGGCACCACCGTGAAGGCGACGACAGGGAAGGTGGTGCCACGACGAGGCCGAGCTAGAGGAGAAGCCTCAGACTGGCACTCGGAATTTGGAAGACGGCTAAATCATCCTTTCTGAATCTCTCTTTGCAGTGACCACCGGGCTCAAGAAAATCACCGCTCAAGGCTTACCCTCACGCCAGAAACCAAAGAGCATGCGGACCTCGCACCAAAAACGCCAGCAACAACGCTATGCTTGTTGGGCCAAGGACTAGTGCTTCAACGACTCAGGCGCAAAAGAAGCCCGGTGGGAGCCGGTTGCCGTTGGATCTCAGTAACGGTCGGATGAGCAGTCGCTGCCATGACTATAGAGGATCTCGTTCCCTCGTTGCCAAGCGATTGAAGTGGGCCCTGGCTCGATTCGTTTCCGAGCTCCGACAGAAGTGGGCCCACCTGCAGCCGCAGGAGTAATAAACGTGCTCGCTGAGGTAAGTTGAAACTAGTTTCATGTATTTCTAAACTACTAAACAAGATTTAGACTAAAAAAAAACTACTAAACAAGATTTTTAAAATACTTTATAATTCTGATCGGATTTTAAGATTTTTTTCATAATGTTTAAGCTTATATTATGTTTTAACAACAACAAAATATACTTGTACGTTGTAGCAAAACACAATACATGTTACAATCAAACTCCGTATCATTGCTAGACAAGAGTTGATTTAACAAGCTCAAGTCACATATGAGTATGAACTCTTTACGTAATATTAAAGAGCCAAAAAATTATCTTTTTTGTCCACCTCTCCTTACAAACTTGGTGAATGTGGAAATTGTGTATGTCTCTCTATCTACAACCGTTCCCTTGTTTTTTATATATTATTATATATGCAAGACTTCTTTAGATAACCTGAATTGTTAGGAATTCTATTCTAAGTAGATACCTCCAATCCTAGATAGCTAGGAATTTTAATTCTAATTCAAATAGAGCCCTCTAATCCCCGATCGATCCATGCTAGTGCGGGTAAGAGCCGTTTGCGGACGGCGCTACTTCGGCGCCCAAGTGTTACTTCATGTCGACTTTTGTGTCTTAATTTTATTTAAAAAAAATAATAGTCGATCTAAATTTTTAATTTCACTTTGCATTGGATAATAGATGCCATTCCGCGTCAAATAAAAAAACCGCGCTCGATTCGGGCTACAAACGGATAAGTTTTATACATTTAGGGTGATGGACCACAATTTTAGTACTCTACGACGTGTTTCATGGCAACGAAGAGAGCTGAAACCTATTGATCAATTCCCAATAATCAACCTATGATGACCTACACCGTGTCTTCATGCTCTCGCACTAGTGTTTGAGCAGTGATCGATCCATGCTAGTGCGGGCAAGAGCTGTTCGTGGGCTGCACTACTTCGACGTCCAAGGGTTACTTCCTGTCGACTTTTGTGTCTTTATTTTATTTTTAAACAAATAATAGTAGGTCTAAATTTTTAAATTCGCCCTACATTGGATAACGGATAGAATTTTGCGTCGAACAAAAAAAACTGCGTTCAATTCGGGGTCTAAACGGATAAGTTTTGTACATTTATGGTGATGTACCACAATTTCGATACTCTACGACGTGTTTCATGGCAACAAAGAGAGCTGAAACCTATCGATCAATTCCCAACGATCAACCTATGATGACCTACACCGTGTCTTCATGCTCTCGTACTAGTGTTTGAGCAGTGATCGATACATGCTAGTGCGGGCAAGAGCCTTTCACGGGCGGCGCTACTTAGGCGCCCAAGGGTTACTTCCTGTCGACTTTTGTGTCTTCATTTTATTTTTTTTAAAATAATAGTCACTCTAAAATTTTAAATTCGCTCTACATTGGATAATAGATGGCATTCTGCGTTAAACAAAAAAAACCGCGCTCGATTCGGGCTCCAAACAGATAAGTTTTGTACATTTAAGGTGATGGACCACAATTTCAGTACTCTACGACGTGTTTCATGGCAACGAAGAGAGCTGAAACCTATGATGACCTACACCGTGTCTTAATGCTCTCGCACTAGTGTTTGAGCAGTGATCGATCCATGCTAGTGCGGGGAAGAGCCGTTTGCGGGCGGCGCTACTTCGACGCTCAAGTGTTACTTCCTGTCGACTTTTATGTCTTAATTTTATTTTAAAAAAAATATTAGTCGACCTAAACTTTTAATTTCACTCTACATTGAATAACAGATGTCATTCTGTGTCAAACAAAAAAACAACCACGCTCGATTTGGGCTCCAAACGAATAAGTTTTGTACATTTAGGGTGATGGACCACAATTTCGGTACTCTACGGCGTGTTTCATGGCAACGAAGAGAGCTAAAACCTATCGATCAATTCCGAAAGATTAACCTATGATGACCTACACCGTGTCTTCATGCTCTTGCACTAGTGTTTGAGCAGTGATCGATCCATGCTAGTGCGGGCAAGAGCCGTTTGCGGGCGGCGCTACTTCGGCGCCCAAGTGTTACTTCCTGTCGGCTTTTGTGTCTTAATTTTATTTAAAAAAATAATAGTCACTCTAAATTTTTAATTTCACTCTGCATTGGATAACAGATGCCATTCTGTGTAAAAAACCGCGTTCGATTCGGGCTCTAAACGGATAAGTTTTGTATATTTAGGGTGATGGACCACAATTTTGGTACTCTACGACGTGTTTCATGGCAAAGAAGAGAGCTGAAACCAGTCGATCAATTCCCAAAGATCAAACTATGATGACCTACACCGTGTCTTCATGCTCTCGCACTAGTGTTTGAGCAGTGATCGATCCATACTAGTGAAAGCTCTAGTTTGGTTTTGGTGAATTGATGAAACCCTAAGTGCTAACCTAGTTTATCAAAGTGATTATGAGATAGGTAGCACTACTCCAAGTGATGAAGCAAATGAAGATCATGACATGATGATGGTAATGGCATAATGATGATCAAGTGCTTGGACTTAAAAAGAAGAAAGAAAGAAACAAAAAGCTTAAGGCAAATGTATTAGTGGTAGGAGCCATTTCGTTTTGGTGATCAAGACACTTAGCGAGTGTGATCACATTTAGGTTAGATAGTCGTACTATTAAGAGGGGTGAAACTCATATCGAAATACGATTATCAAAGCACCACTAGATGCTCTAACTCATTGCATATGCATTTAGGATCTAGTGGAGTGCTAACACCCTTGAAAACATTTGTGAAAATATGCTAACACACATGCACAAGGTGATACACATTGTGTTTAGCACTTTGGAGCAAGGGTAAGAAACTTTATCGGTGGAGTGTCCGCCCGTAGAGTGCGGACAGTTCGATGGTGCCACTGGTGCCGTGTATAAAAAAGATAGGGTTTCATAGAGTGCACCGGACGCTGGTCACGCAGTCATCAGATGCTGGGTCCTGCATCCGGTTAGTGGAAGCAGTGAAGACGCTGGCGTTGGTCTTTGACCAGACGCTGGGTCACTTCATGACCGGACGCTGGAGGGGTGTGTCTGGTCCCGCTGACATGGTAGCACAGAGAAGAGGAGAAACGACCGGACGCTGATGCTGCGTCCGATCAAGATCGACCGAACACGTCCGGTCGTAAATTTTCGCGAATGGAACCTTACTGGAAACGACCGGACTCTGGTGTTGGTGCATCCGGTCACTTCAAGCAGCGCGTCCGGTCACAACTTAAATGTACTGATGACCGTTGAGATCGGACGATCAGCATTTGAAGCGGGGGACACGTGGCGTTTATCGCACGACCAGATGCTGGGGTCCTCGTCCGGTCAATCTGATCGGCGAGTTCGGTCACCCTGAGCAGTGCCTAGTGAATGGGTACAATGGCTCTATTTCATGGGGGCTTTTATTTAAGCCCCATGTCCGGCTCTAGCTCACTCCCTTTTGGCCACTTATATTGACATAGCAACCTTGTGAGCTTAGCCAAAGCCCTCCCACTCATCTCAATCATAGATTCAACATCTTTGTGAGATTGGGAGTGAATCCAAGTGCATTGCTTGAGTGTTTGCATCTAGAGGCACTTGGTATTCGTGTTTCGCTACATGATTCGCTTGTTACTCTTGGTGGTTGCCGCCACCTAGATGGCTTGGAGCAGTAAGGATCGTCGAGCGAAGGTTGGTGATTGTCTCTGGCTTCAATCGTGGTGATTGTGAGGGGTTCTTGACCTTTCCCCGATGGAGAGCCAAAAGGTACTCTAGTAAATTGCTCGTGGCTTGTGTGATCCTAATATTATGTTGGTTGTGCGGCACCATATTGAGGGTTTGACGTGTGATGCCAATTAGCGCGTGAACCTCCAAATGAGTGAATCACCACAACGAGGACTAGCTTACCGACAAGCAAGTGAACCTCGGTAAAAAATTATTGTGTCATCATTTGATTCCGAGGTGATTGGTATTCATTCTTGTGATTGATTGGTTTATTCCTCGACTCGACGGTATATCCATCTTGCTCTATCTCTTTACTTTACTGCAAACTAGTTGTCAAGCTCTTTAGTGTAGCTAGTCGTGAG